CTTCTATTGAATTATGAAATATCATAAAATATTGTAGCTCCAAAATGCACTTCAAAAATATTTGCATTACGATTTAGCAGTTGAGAATGTAACTCTCTGCATCTACAACATGATTGGATTTTAAAAAAAAAAAAATAGAAAATTAAATATTTGAAATGTCAGCATTATTGTATTTTATAATTTTATTTTACTTAAATTTTTTATTTTTATGTTGTTTTAATTTAATTTATTTCATTTTAATTTATGTTTTGCTTTATTTTATTTTACCTTTACGCATTGTAACTGCTGAAGGGATTTTTAGGCCGAGCTCCTCCTGTCATTGTGGTTTTGCGTCTTGATCTTTTTTAACAAATTTACACTAAGCCGACTTTATCTTTCACTTTAAGTTATTAATACCATTTTAATTTTTTGATTTTGTTTTTTATTTTATTTTTTTTTTTTTTGATTTTTGTTTTTTAATTTAATTTTTTAATTTATTTTTTCCTTTTTTCTATTTATTTTTTATTATTTTCAAATTAATTTTATTTTAATTATTTAACTTCATTCTGTTTTAGTTTAATCATTACATCTTATTTAATTTTATATATTTTAATTAAATTGTAATATTTTTTTTAACTTGTAAACTTTTATTTGATTTTATTTTTCATTTCTTTATTTTATTTATCTTATTTTGAAATGTTTTATTGAATTTTTAGTTAATTCGGATCTTATATAATTATATTTTATTAATGTTAATTCTATTTAATTTTAGTTTGTTTTATTTAATTAATTTTATTTATTTAATTAAGTTAATGTTATTTCTTTAATTTTCTTATCCCTTTCCTTTTATTTTACTTTTTTCCTTTTTCTTAATTTTTTTTAGTATTTTCCTTTAATTCATATTATTCCACTCTTTTCTATTTTATTTTATTCGTTTTAACTCATTTTATATAATTTAATTATAACTTTATTTTAATTTATTTTATTTTATTTTATTTTATTTTATAATTTTTATTATTTAAGATTTAATAGTAATCTTTTTTATTTTTTTATTTTGCATCATTATTACTTCATCAAGCGAACTGAAGCTATTGTTTGTCAATAAGTTTCAAATATTAATCCTTCTTTAATGAAGTGGACAGGAGAAACTTCCAAATGATATTAGAAAAGTTTGTGCATCAAATCGAATCAGACGCGTATCTATTAATGGGCACACCAGGATTTTTAAAATTAAACTTTTATATACTTATATACAAATTTCAGATATATTGATGTGCTTCTCTTGAACAACAACTTTCCTTACAAACTATTTACTTAATTATGAGTTACTTACGCAAACAATTTGCATAACTGTTAAACGATTCCCAACAACTCACTTACATACAACCCAACTGGTGTTCGCTTTAAACTTAAATATTTTTGTAAAAGTTTCCATATACAAACACATTTTCGAGTGTATATAGTAACTATATAATTTCAATTTTCTTTACTTAATTATGAACAGTAATATATTTACAAACGAAAAACAAAAAACTCGTCAAGCAAATTAAAACCGAATGACGCACGAAAGGAAGCGTAAAATGAGCAGCAAACGATTGAGGGGAGATGAAGTGTGATAAGGATACTTATATGTATGAATATGATGCGCTTATATTCCTATCGCTCAAAATGTGTTTATACATATTTGAGTAAAATGTTATTGTAGATGTGTATATGCTTGTGTGTCAGTGAAAATTAATTCAAGATTGTCACTTTGAGAACTGAACGCGTAGCTGCGTTAAACTGCGGTGTAACTGGCTTAAACAGCTAGTGGATGTAAATTTATACGTATGTATGTTTACATGTTAGTATATCTACAAGAAAATGTTCGTGCAAGTTAGCTTTTAGAAAATTCAGTTTCCTCTCCGCACAATTGCTATGTATTTTTGGTTACGTGTGCTGTTGATGATGATGCAAAAGGGAATGGCGATGGATGGATGACTGCGGACAGAATATTTATATCATGGATATATGTACTGCAGTCATTGCTGCTGCTGCTGTCATTGCTCATTACGTTGCTCTTCGTTCATTTTTCTTTTTTCGCTTTTGTTTTCTGTTATTCTGCTGTTTGCTACGTAATTCTAAAAACTCAGTTGATTTATTGTATGCTTAAAATGAAATAATTTCACTTGGAAGACTCGCCAAAAATTTCTCATAAATACATATTGATATAGATATGTACGAATATGTTTTATTACAGTCTTGCAATTTAAGCTGTAGAGCGTTGTAAGCTTTTCACTTTGGTGCAAATTTTGAAATAATTTTAGGAAATGATTATTTTTTTTGAAACTAATGAAGATATTCAAAAACTATTTTACGCGCTAAAGTGATTTGAAATTATTTACTGGGGCCGCTCATATCTCATATATTGTCTTTTGAGATTATGCTGATTCGAGATTACTGGTTATCGGAGATCGACAATGTTTTTGTCAAAAGTATTCTAGTACTAAAACATTAATTTTCGCTGCAGTTTCATAACCAGTAGTACTGGTCAAAATGGTTTTGCTGATGTCGCCCTTAATGTATTTACTTTACATTCCCTCGTACTACAAATAAAAGAAAAAACTGTGTGTTTTATGGCAAAAAATTATGCAAAACACTTTAGTGATTTTATTTGCATATAAAATGCTGAGAATATGACGAACGAATGTGGAAAAAACAAGCCAATGTCGTCTAAGGAGCAATATTTGCATACAAACTTACATAATAATATTTGTTTACATTGCTACAGCACCATATAAATGAAAGTTAAAAGTTTTGTGGAAATTAAAACTGTAAATGCAAATATGTAAAAAAAAATTTCAATGTCATTTTACTACACTACGCATTAAGCTGCTTTAATTTCCCGTTGAATAAATAAAGTGGAAAAATATTTCTGATCCGATATAAGCTAACTCTGAATATTCTGGTAATAGGCATGTTGAGAAGAGCCAAGGTAAAGAGCCTAGCATATTAACTGCCACTTACGTATCACTACATAAAATATCTCCAGCAAAAAAATTGTCGTTTTTGGCTTTAGGTAGCTTAATAGGGAAGTCGCTTATACCTAATGCCCTCTGTATAAGCAAGTCTCACTTGATGCACGTTATTCGTAGCATAATTTTAGGCATTGAGTTTTTCTTTCCTGTAATTTTTGCATACATACATATATTCAATAATGCAATTCTCAAATGGATAGTGTAATAATGATATATAATTGAAAATTTCGAATTCTTAAATGATGTAAGCCAGGCGTCTTGTGATTTCAACGGATTACACCAAATTTGCAAACCTTGAGCTCAATTTGAAAACTTGGGAAAGCAATATCAGCTTTGGAGCTAAATTTTGAGCTGCACTCCGTACTATGTATTTGTACACACTTAGATGCCTTAATTGCCATTTGATTGTCTAACTGAAACCTTATGCATTTTTTAATTAACCACTTCAGTACGAGCATCGACTGTGAACAACCACGCACAGCCGAGCGGACTATAGTCGAGGATCACGTCATGAGCGCGCACGCCCGAGCGTCAACTATAGTTGACAGCCAGGAATTTTATCTTATCTCTACGTTATTACGCAGTGTTTGCTCTTATACTTCTATTTAAACCCATCCGTATGCACATGGATACCTTCATTCTTAGGTGATCTATACCCCGTAGAAAACTTCTGTTTCTCTGCCGCAATTTAAGTTTAGTCCGAGTTCCGATATAATTTTCTGAATGCCATCTTGTCCTTCATAATTTGGGAACTGGACCCAACTATATAGATCAGGTGACTTAATTAATTGGCCTAATGTCAAAGCTTATTTCAAGGGCCTTGTTGACGTTATCCTCATCGCTTCTGCTCTACCAAGTTGACAGGTATGTCCACCGCACGAGAGCTCAATATGTTCGTATGGGTCTTACGACACTCATGTAAAGCGAATGTACTTGGTATTGTAAAACCTGAAAAATTTTCTGTACTCATAGGAACATAAGAAAAGAAATATAGGTAGTGGTTACTTTGGTATGCAATATTAGGTAACAAATAATAAAGGTATAGAGCACATCTGGAGTACAAAGGTTAGATTTTTGATAATTTTTTTGAATTAAATTAAAAATGGCCTTACTAATTACCGTACCCTTGTTGTGGTTCCACCCAAACTCTTCGAAATTATACTGAAACTTAATTGGAAGCCAAGTAGCTAGTATGTTTTCTTTGCTTGTTTATCTTGCCAAAGGTCTTGAAAGGTCCCTCTAAATTCAAACACAAGAAGATTTATTTTAGGCCATGTCGAGATTGTGCCTTGCCTGGATTTTTATGAAGCGACCTTAAGGCAACCTTGCAGCCACGCCAACTATAGGGTAGTAAAAGTCTCAACATTACTAGGAAACCCTATCTAGTATAATTTGCCACCTCTCCGTCATCTTTTATAGCGCGAGAATGTATATGTTTCCGATACTTATAAACACCTTACAGCAAATGTTTAAAAAACATTCTGGATCAAATATTTCAATATCAAAACCTGCCTCCTGGGTGTATGAGTTGGATTTAAATTCATCGTAAATATTAACACTAAACACATATTGAATTCAGCGCCATCTATTGATTTTTTCACTCCACATACAGCAAGAAATATTGTGAAAATTTAAATAAAAATTAACAAATTAAAAAGTATTACAGAGGGGAAAAATATCATTCACCACTTTTACTTATAAATAACTTTGTTTTTTAGCACACAACTTTTTTTAATGGTGAAATTTTCAAAGAACTTTCATTAGCTTATTTTCGTCTACTTTCTTGGAAGTCAACAAAATTGTAAAAAAATATTTTCGTTTTTTCGTTATTGTATTTTTACTTGCACACGCTCTTGTAAGACTATAAATTCATGCAGCGCCTTCCTTAACCATTTTCGAGATTTCTTTTATTTTTATTTTTCTTTATTTAAATTCGAATAATTATCTCTAATTATTACTATTTTATAATTTATTTTTCTATTTGGTAAAATAAATGTCCGTTATAACATGAAACTTAATTAGCTGTATTTATGCAATTGCGAACTGCTTACAGTCGCGCGCGCTGGTGTTACAACGCGCTTATGCTACAAACTTAATTGTACATTTGATTTTTTCTTTTCCTTTGCCGCTGACATTTAATTGAAACCCTGACATTGCTGCAAAATACATTTGCGCCATAATTAATCTGCATTGTAAGCTTCGCTGCCTGTACTCAACGCCGCATGCGCTCAGCGCCGCTACTGAAACCACTTTATCCTCGCCATTTATTAACTAGACTTTCGCGCTCGTTCTACTTGTCCGCCTGATTAAGCCGCACTCTGTTGTTATAATTCGCCCATTTCGCAGTCTATTGCTGTTATCACTGCGCGCTTCCGCTTTGTTGGTATGCGCTACGCGCGCGCATGTTAGACCCGCGTTTGTAGGCTTTTCGCTGTGATTTTTCGCCATCATTCTCTGCCGTTGTCGTCAACTGCGTCACGTGCCAAGCTACGCCCGCGTTTTTTTAACACTCACACTCAATATTCTACTGTAAGTGTTACGTTTTGCGCACGCATTTTTATACGAAACTAATATCAGCGCGATCTGATTTTGTTGTGGGCGGTTGGCGTTGAAAAGCGTACACATTCACGAGTAATTGCGCCATGAAAATCAGACAAAATAAAACAATTAAAAGTATGTAGAGAAAAATGTCGCGCACCATTTCCGATACCAAATAAAGTATGCGTTTGCACTTGCAATATATGCGCGTTTGATTAGGAGATTTCCGATGCAGCGCACTTAGGCGCTTTTAACAGTTGGTGGTTAAGACGCCTTTGCCGCAATGCGTATTATGATTGCGCGTTTCTACTAGCTCGTGTGACACCAATAATAAAGTGAGCGCCTTCTATATTTATATTTGGTTCAAAGCGCAGCACTAAAAGCTTGTGCGCTTTCGGCTACGACCATTGTGAGTGCCATAAATATATAATTGTTGTTGTTTTTTAGATTCTCCCTACTTTGCGTTGCTATGGAAAAAATTTGCTTTTGATTTTTGCGCTACAGCCACCACGTCGACGTCGACGCCGCCGCTCTGAAATCAGTTCAGTAAACCCAAGCGTCACCTTAGCGCTAAGCCGCAGCCGTTGTGCTAAGCTTCTTACACTTACAATTGAAATCTTGCGTTTTGTGTGTGTTTATTGGAACGGGTAAATTGAGAAAACCATGTCGCTCTGCTGGCGTGTCTTCCATCTTAGGCTGGTCTGTCTATGTTTCCTACCTTTACGTGTCTTCTCTGCTGTTCAGCTGGCGTAAACTTACTGCGCTACAGTTGCTCACTTTTTCTTCTTCGTCTTTCGTCTTTGGTGTGCTCTTACTTGTGACAAGCGCCTATTTGCACACTACAATTTCTCTACTTCGAAATTCTTTTTATCTCAATCGATGCCAGCGTGGTTGGGGTGTTTGCTCTACTTTAATTTATGCTCACTTTTATTTCCACTTCAGTCCGTTGCGTTAGAGGTTTTTAAGACTGAAATTAGAAAAAAAAAAAACAGCATAAAAACATTTTTAATGCAAACACTAAAAACAACTGTGAAGAAAAGTTACAATGTTGGGTTAAGAAAAAAGTTGTAAATTGTAATGGCAAAACAGGCAAAAAGAGGAGAATCACTGAGGTACACGTCAAACTGAGTGCGCGCACAATAAGCAAAATCAGCAAAACAAATACGCAAGCAAAGAAATTGTAATGGAAAAATGCATTTAAATGAAAGTAAAAGTAAAAAAAAAAAATTAAAAAATGTCCTCACAAAGCTTGCGGCATACTTATACGTGTACATATATGTATGCTAATGTATGTAGAACGAAGTTGTTGAATTTACATGCAACTAGGCATGCAAACATGCAACATGCAACACAACAAACTGCAACTACACACACGATAAGTACTCTGCAGAGTAAAGCAGCAGAAACATGCACTCCTCGGTGGCACTTCATGTCGCAGCTGAGCAAAACAGCAGCATAGCAACCGTTTAAAGCTCTTCCATACACACGATATGCACATAGTTTTATTTATCCTGCAGTGAAATGAACAAGTTCATAACTAATAGGAAACTAGTTTTCCAAAAAAGCCCATATATTTAGAAAACTTGCGTTTTCGGTATCAGGAACTGGTATATTTCAAGTTAAAAACAAACCAGTATTAAACCAGTTGGAAATCAACAAAAAGCGTAAGCGTGAAGTTTTCAATGAATACCAAACGAGGTTTCGAACAAGGCGATTCCTAGTCGTGTGCCTTCTTCAACCCATTGCTAAAGAAAATAATACGAGCTGCAGAGCTGCATGGTGAAGATACAATCTGCTAAAAGGGTATACAGCTGCTGGATGATATTGACATTATTGACCTCAATAACAGCACCGTTGGTACAGCCTTTTCCATAGGGTCATCCACCAAAAAGTCATCGCTTTAGCGACTCTCCTTCTACGTCTCTGTTAACAGTCAAAATCCCAAAGCAGAAGTTAGTTTCTTCTATATTCGAGCCACTATTAACATCATGTGTCTTGAAATCCAGTGAATAATCTGCTTTACATACTTCTGTGGACTGAGTAGGCAGTTCAACAGTAAAGTGTTCTTTCGACGAACGAAGCTCAAAGTCAGGGCGTTAGAAGTTTTCGGGAGAAATATTTTGCGCAAGATTTATGGTTCTCCAGGAGATGGAAAACGGCAATAACGTAGCCAATAGAACGCTGAGTTGTACGATACGATATACGGCAACATTGACGCAGTTCAGCGAAATAAAAAACAGCGGCTACGGTCAAGTACTCCGGCTGGATAAGAATACTCAAACCTTTGGAAGTTCCCAATGCAGGTAGTTGCAGAAGAAGAGGAGAGACCAGGTAGGGAAGAAAGAGCGCCTGTACCAAATTCATTGTTTGATTCGCACAACGCATCGTGCGCTTTGTCCAATATTCGATCAAGTCGGTAATTCGAGGTTTATTCTAAACCATAATGCGCATTATCAGAGGCGACGTATAGTGAGCAAAAAAAACCGATCTTGGTTAGCGAGCTTATAAGTCCAACGCGTGGAATGAAGCCAAACGACCATCGAGCGCGTTGTGCGGGCGGTAAATAAGTCCCAAACGTAATGGCCTTCAATCCCGATTTTCAGCAGAAAATATTCTTTCAGCGATGAAACACTTTTTTGGTTGAATGGGTAAGTTAATGAATACAATTGTGGGATTTGAAATGGTGATGAGCCATATGCCTTCCTTGGGAAGCCGTAACATCTTCAAAAATTTACTATCAAGATGGCAAGATTTTACACCGCTAGCTAAGAACGATTATTGGCTTGGAAGAGAATATTCTAAGCGTTTTTGCTGGCATGCGGCTCGAACTACTATAAAAAGTAGTCGAAAATTAGGACTCTCGACTGAAATTTATACGGGTTGGCCTAGGCGTCCATTTGCCCGAAATCTTTTTTAAAACATAATGGCATAAAGAGCTAAACTAGTCAAATGAAATTAATTTAAAAATGCAACGAAACTAGTAAGCCAAAGAATTAAACAAATTGGCCTACTCATGGTTTTCAAACATTTTACGGGTATTTTTCAGCCAGAAATATATTAGTCTTATACTAGTACGAAATAATTTGGAGCAGAATTAAAATAATATTACAAAAATTCTTTCATTATTTTACTTAAACATATTCAGAATAACTCTATATTCTGAATAGAACGATTGACCAAATAGAGACCTAAACACAATATTCAAGAGAACAAAACAATTTGAAAATAATTTAACTAAGTCATTAATCCCTTTTTCGTATTTTCCGGACTAATCCAATTACCGTCAGAGAACTCTAATAGTAAACTAGTGTTTTTCTGAGTAGTTTTACAGTTCACTGTAGAATAGATAAAAATGAAAGACGGTTATGTAAATATATTTCATTTGCAACATGAAGTGGCATAACATACTACTCGTATGTAGTGGTGAGTTTTATAATGGCTGTGCAAATCATAGAACATTATGATGCAATGGTATGGCATTTTTTATGAAAATTTGAATTTACAACTACAAGGAAACCAGTAAAAAGCTGTTACTAGCCGGGAAATATGTGTTAAGTTGCATTCATAAATATTTTATTTTTATTTTTGAAAAGAAAATATTTAGCATTAAATAAATAAAAAAAAAATTATTTAACATTTTTTTTTTTAACAAATATTTTTGCTATAAATAACTTCTATGTCCAAGTTTTCTAAAAAGTTATTTACAAAAAATTTATGTATTTTTTTTTAAACTTCAATTTTAAGGAATTTAATTTTGATATTAATATTTTTGTATTTCCTATTGTAATAAAATGAAGTTTTTAATGTAGATTATATGATATTTCCTTTGACTTTTAAGTTGGGTAGAAGCTTTCCATTTGAAATATATTATATCATATAATAAACTGTAAAGATCATTATTCGTAAAATTATGGCTGCAGTGGTTGGTAGTGTGTGCTAGCATTCGGAAAGTCTTGGGTTTGAGTCTTGGCTCGTTCAACTTTAAATTTTTTAGAAAATGTATTTAGATGAAAAAAAAAAATCTAATTTTATTAGCTATCCAGCTCTACCACTAGCGGCTTATAACAAACGTAAATCACTCCATTTGTGGGATAAACATAAACAATTGCACCACCAGAAAGTGGAGCCCGGACGAAAATCGCTTCAGCGGTTACAAAGCGCTAATGCTTTGGTGCGGCATGTGGACTGGTGCCCTTCATTGGTCCGGTTTTTCTTTGAAAACGAGCCGTTCAGTACCTTATTATTCCCAGAAATTATATGCTTCCAAATGTTAAAGATAATTACATGAAGGTTATGTGGTTTTAACTGGATGGCGCTACTTGCCACACAGTCAACGTTGCAATCGATCTTTTGGGCTTTGTTATTGGAAATCGCATAACTCGCCGAAACAGTGAAGTTACTTGGCCGCCTCGCAGCTCCGATTTGACTTCGTTACACTAGTTTAAGTGCTCCGTCAACTATTCAGAGACCATTCAAGAGTTGAAACACAAAATTTATTCATCATTGCATACGTTTACATATTCGTCAACGCAATCTTCATGAAAAGCCACACAATGAATGGGGCTCTCACTTTCAACAGAGGTTTCAGAGGTGTTACATATCTACATTTTTTAACAAACTGCAGAAAATGCTTCGATCATTTATAATTGTTACCTAAAGACGTTGAAGTTGTGTAAAACACGAAAACAGTTTTGACATGCTACCGACATTGTAAAGATATCTCTTACACTTTTTAAACTGTACAAAACACTGCTAAAAATAGCTTAATAATCCCTACGTTGTCTAAAGAGTAATTTCTGAACTCTCGCAACTTTAAGTAAGAAAATTTCTTTAATTCTGAACCCCAACCTTCCTTGAATTAATTCGCTCGCACTATCATTGTCTTCAATACCCAATTTTTCAGGTCCCATCGAGGGTTGACATAAATAGTAGGATTCGACTATCATTCTAACTTAATGCTTGTGATGCCTTATAAGTAGCGAACTAAAATCTGAGACTTTTCTCCCTTTGAACTCTCTTTCGTAACTCCACCACTTTTATCACAACTAAATCCATAAGTCAAACCTAATATCTCCCTACAACTATCTACGATAACTTACTATCCAGCACTATATTCAGGTATTGAATGATCGGTATTGGGGCACTGCTAACTCGACCAGTTTTAGTTTATCTCCCACAAGAGTCCTATATTTCTTTGGCTTATTCTGATGAGTCAAGTCAGTTTCGTGACTTTGCTATCGATTTCTGATTTCCCAATATGAAGTTAATCTAAAAATAACCGTCCAATATCTATGAGTTAACCTCTAGTTAAAGAAGGTAAACATCAGCACATTTTGAAAGGCATTTCGAATGGCAAAATAAGGATTCACTGAATTTGTAATTAAGGTACAGATATCAAATTATTTATGTTATATGAAAAAAAAAAGTTTTAAAGTTTAATTCCAAAGCCTAGTTCATAGGCCTTTTGTCGAAAAAAATTAAAAAATTATTTTTTGTGAAATTATCCTGCTATTTCTTCAATTTCGTAAGGCGGAAAGTAATCAT